AATTCTTAATTATCACTCATACTTTTCTCCATTCTATTATTAGTTTTTTTAATTCTTTGTCACCACCCATATTTTTCTCACAGTTTATTATATTATTTTAGTCTAGTTCATAGAATAACACACCACCTTAATGGTCTATTTAAATAGATCTTTCCACTGATTAATAAGTGTGGGACTGGAGGTATACTTGCTTGAAATTTTTGATAGACATTATATAGTTCTATAATTTAATATAGAAGATAATTTGAAGCTACCTTTTTTAGCTAATTTAAAAATCATATTTGAAAATTCCTATCAGATAATATTGAAGAGGGCTTTTTTTTTGTCCCACCCTTTTCACTACAATGTAAACACACTCTACTATAAGAATGAAGTGTTAAAGTTCAGCACCCGTTTAAGTATGTGAATCAAACATTTAACCATACATACATACATACATACATACATACATACATACATACATATATTTAAATACCTGATATGTGCAGATGGACCTAGAAATGATGTTAGGGATGGTAATTCAGCAATTAGTGATCAGTTCACCCAATGGGGGTTAAATTTGTGCATGATGTAAAATATCTCTTTTTTTAATATTCAGTGTGGAAGATGTACCATCATGTTAAGTATTCACTTGTTTTGTTATTTAGGAAACATATACACCACCCCCTTCCCTGCAATTGAATCCTATTATTCTGATTCATAATACTTTTAACCTACTTTTTACAGTCTAATTTCTGAAAATAAATCTATCTTTGTTGTCCTTCCAACCCTAAAATCTTTTTCTATTATATCAAAGCACTAGGTTTTAATTTCATTTCCTTAAATTCTCTCCCTAGTGTCAAAAGTATAGAAGTGAGTCTAATACAGAGTCAAGTCACTGATATGTAAATAAAGCCCAATTTGCCCCAGACACGTGGAAATGGCTTTTCTGTAAAATAATCAGTATACAAATCACTTACAATTTTTCTTCACAGAATTATTGTCTCTGCTGATGTCTGCTCTTTAGAATGTTCAATATTGGTCCAGTAATAGATAAATGCTATTCTTGTTCAGTCATGGAAAAGATGTACCATCAGTGGGAGCCTTTGATTTTATATTTGGCAAGCTTAACAATAAGTTGAACTTACATTTGGCATTTTGTTTCCCTTTAGACCATACAAACAAAATTAGCAAAATTTTATAATGAGCTTCTGTATTTTTTAAAGATAATTAGCAATTAGCAGCTCCTGCTATCCATGCTCAGATGCAGATTAC